TCCAAAAATCCCTGATGATGGCAGCGAATCGAAACTTTCACACATTGTAGGCCCGACTCTTCTTCTTTTAACGCAACAAACCCGAAATTTCCAGCTTTTCTGGTTGGGAGGCAATGAATTTTTCAATGGCGCATCGCATCCGCGCGTAGTGGAAGCGAAAATCCGCAAATTTTAAAAATTCCTGAAAAAATCCCTGACGATGGCAGGGAATCGAAACTTTCACATGTTTTAGGCCCAACTCTTCTGCTTTGAACGCAAAAGACCCAAAAATTCCAGTTTTTTTGGTTGGGACGCAATTAATTTTTCAATGGCACATGGCACCCGGCGCCCCCTAGTGCGAGTTGATTTTTTCGCGATATCTGCTCTGCCTGAAGAGCGGGGGGCCTGCAACCTGCGCCAGACGCTGGCCTTTGGCCCTCTGCGCTTTTCATTAAGGGGCCCCTTTGTTGCTCAGCCTCACCGTTTGGGCGCAATGCGGCAAAATGCGCCCATCGCATCCGCGCGTAATGAAAGTGAAAATCCGCAAACTTTAAAAATTCCTGAAAAAACCCCTGATTATGGCACCAAATCGAAACTTTCACACGCTTTAGGCCCGACTCTTCTGCTTTTAACGCAACAAACCCGAAGTTCCCAGCTTTTCTGGTTGGGACGCAATTAATTTTTCAATGGCGCGTCGCATCCGCACGTGATGGAAGTGAAAAAGCGCAAACATAAAAGATCCTGGAAAAATCCCTGATTATGGCAGCGAATCAAGACTTTCACAAATTGTAGGCCCGACTCTTCTGCTTTTAATACAAAAAATCCCAACTTTTCAGCTTTTCTGGTTGGGACGCAAAGAAATTTTCAATCGTCCATCGCATCTGCGCGTAATGGATGTGAAAGTCCGCAAACTTTAAAAATTCGTCAAAAAATCCCTGACGACGGCAGCGAATCGAAACCTCCACACATTGTAGGCCCGACCCTTCTGCTTTTAACGCAACAAACCCGAATGTTCCAGCATTTCTGGTTGGGACGCAATTAATTTCTCAATGGTCCATCGCATCCACGCGTATTGGAAGTGAAAAAATGGGCAAACTTTAAAAATTCCTCCAAAAATCCCTGATGATGGCAGCGAATCGAAACTTTCCAACATTGTAGGCCCGACTCTTCTGCTTTTAACGCAACAAACCCGAAATTTCCAGCGTTTCTGGTTGGGACGCGCACTTTGAAACTTCCTAAAAATTGCGCTGTTGCCGGGTTGTGCAACTTGTCCAGACTGGCTGATGACTAATCCAGGGCTTTTCCAGGTTCCGGAGCGCATTCGCGCCATGAACGCCAGCATCAAGCTCCTGCTGATAGTGCGGGAGCCGGTGACGCGCGCCATCTCCGACTACACGCAGCTGCGCGCCAACGCGGCAACCATGGCGCCCACGGCGCCCACTCTCGGCCCAGTGCGCAGCTTCGAGCAGCTGGCGCTGCACCGCAACGGCACCGTCAACGAGTCGTACCGCCCGCTCGCCATCTCTGTCTATCACCGCTTCCTGCATCGCTGGCTCGAGGTAAGCGCAGCCGCCCACCCCGATCCAAACCAGCGTGATTGCGAGCGCCCTCTACCCGCAGGTGTTCCCACGCGAGCAACTGCTGGTGGTGAACGGCGACCAGCTGATCGACGATCCGCTGCCGCAGCTGCAGCGCATCGAGCGCTTCCTCGGGCTCGAGCCGCGCATCAGCGCCCACAACTTCTACTTCAACGAGACGAAGGGATTCTTCTGTCTGCGCAACGAGACGGCCGATCGGTGTCTGCGCGAGACCAAAGGGCGGCGCCACCCGCGCGTCAGCCCGCACGTCGTGGCGCAGCTGCGCGCCTACTTCGACGAGCACAATCAAAAGTTCTACGAGCTGATTGGCGAGGATCTGGCGTGGCCGAGCGACTAGCCCCGCCCACTCCATGGGCGTGCGCATCATGCTCAAGCGCGCGCCACGTGGACTTACCTGCGCGGCACCCAGCAGCTTCTTGATCACATTGATCAGTGCCTTAAGTAGGTGGAGTGGGGGGCGCGCGCGCCCATTCAAACCAAACCGGTAAGCAATAGCACGCAAGTGTCCGCTGTTTAATTACCTGCATATCAAATCTTAACCATACATATCAAAGGTGTGATGATTGTACATTGTAAGTAGGCTTAGGGAATTTTATATGTCTATGCATAGACCAGGCAGTGTTGCCAGTGCTTGGGGGTTTTTCGCATTTTTTAGGAAAATTATCGCCCCCCGGGGGGCGGAACCTTGTGATCGTTATCATTGACACTAGTTGATAAATCTATATTTATATAAATATTTATATGTATATTGTATAGTGGGGCTGCAATGCGAGCGAAAGTGGGCGTTATATTTAAATAAATTTATAAATGTATATATACAGAGTGCGCGGGTTGTTTGCGGGCGATTCGAAACATATCAAGCCTGCCTCGGGGATGCCGTCATAGGGCCCGCGAACGGCCCGCCCACTCTCTCCATCCTACTCTACTTCACTTTACTCTACGTGTCCGTGTCTCTTGTCCTTGTTCAACCAAACCCTGTCAACTGGTCACCTATACACAAACGCGCTGTTAGAAGTTAGGTTTTTGGGTTTGTACAAAGTTTTCAGTAGATCAGTAGAAAACATGGGCGCAGTCAATTTAATTTAATCGAATCAATCGATTATTTAATCGACCCTCACAGCTCGCGCCCTGTGCGTACGGCGCCCTCTCACGGGCCACGGTCTTGTCGACGTGGCACTGTCATCGGTGACATCGCTCGGGTGATTGACCCCATTGAGTGCCAAAAAACCGGTAAAATCCCCTGATGGGGCTCCGAATCCAGTGCGGAGTGCTCAAGGGGGCCCTCGGGACCCCCTTGAGCGTAAATTCCAGTGCGCACCCGGTGAAATTTCCGTTTTAAGCGCCTGGCGGCTGTTTGGGCCTACGTTGTTGCCATCCAGGCTGGAAGCGTTCCGTAGTGCGGGGCCCCCCACGGGGGCTGCCGGCGATCAGTAGGCTGGAAGCCCTGCGGCCTTGAAAGGGCCGGTTTTGCGGGCGCTAGCTGCGCAAGTGAGGTTAGGTGTCTGCTAGCTGCCAGCTGCAGAGGCCGACACAAGGGGGCCCCCGATACTTGAAGTTGCGCTGGTGAGTACCGATTGCTGTCAATCTCAAACTTAACCGTTCATTTCAAACTTGTGATGATTCTACATTGGGTTCAGGGAATTTTGTTTGTCTATGCATTGGTGGTTTTTTCGCATTTTTTAGGAAAAAAACCTTGTGATCGATGTTGATGAATCTATATTCATGTAGTGGGGCAAATATTGCGTACACACAGCGCGCGGGTTGTTTGGGGACGATTCGCAACATATCAAGCCTGCCTCGTGCATGGCGTCATAAGGCCCGCCCTCTATCTCCATCCCACTCTACGTGTCTTGTATCCTTGTTCAACCGAATCCTGTCAACTGGTCACTCCACCCAAACCCGCTAGTTAGAGGTTAGGTTTTGGGTTTGTACAAACTTTTTAGCGGATTTATACACTGTTGAAGCCCCCACTTTGAGCCCGAGGGCCAGTGGGGCAACACCGCAATAATTTTGTTAAATTTACCAAAAAATGTGTAATTTGCCGAGGCCGAATAAAGATGAAAGTCAAACTGGGAGGTTATGAATCGTTGCCCTACAACTTTATGGTTTACTAGGTTTATTCAAATTTTATTGGTTGTTACAGGTGGTAGTAGTAGTGGGGGAGGGGGGGAGATTCAGCATACAAAAGTGCAAAATTTAACACGAATAAATTAACACTGGGGGGTGGGGGCGCTGTTGCCATTGTTCAATCTAACCTAACCTAACCTATTTATTTATACAAACAGACAAACAAACAATCAAGTACATGGAATAGGAACTAAGTAACGTAACTAGGGAACGTTTCGGCCGCTAGGCCAGCGTCCATCATACTAAAACGTATATACAGAAATGAATTGTTGCAAACCGCCAATCGATCAAATTCTCAGCAAATCAAAGCAAATTCTCTTTGGTAGTGGGCGTGGCCGTTGGCTGATCGATTGACTGTCGAAGAGGGGGCGGAGCCAGGGTGCCTTGGAATGGTAATACTGGGGCTGCGCCCCCTGCGGGAGAATACTGAAGTTGACTAGCACTATGGGCGGGGGGGCGTGGCCCTACTGGATGGGGATGGGCTGGCGCGCATGCCCCGCCCCCGGCTGCTGCCCCCTGGCGGCCTGGTGCAGAAGCTTCGACAGGCGTTCCTTGGTGGTGGAGGTGGACGGCCGCGAGGTGGCGCGTGCGTGCGATTGGCGCAAACTGCGCGCGTCACAGCGACTGTTCCTGAAACAGTGGCTTGGTTAACCAAACGTCGCCGTGGGCGCTCCTTGTCGCACTTACTTGAGCCAATTGGGCGGCAGCTGGACGCCCAATCGTTCGCACTCTCTCGAGTAGGCGGTCAGGCTCTCGCAGTAGCACTTGCCATGCGCACAATTGAACATGTCCATCTTGCAGGCCTTGTAGTATTTGGTGTTGCTCAGCTGCGACTCGCAGGCGCCAAAGTCGCGCCCGTTCAAGTGCTTGCAGGCGCCCACGTCGCCGTGCGTGCGCCGCGTTGTCTTCGGTTTCTGGGCGCACTCCGCCCTTTTGCCCACGCACCAGGAGGCGCCGAACGCGCCCACGTCCTTGTCGCCCACCGTCTTGCCGGAGCGCAGCCGCAGCTCGTCCTGCAGGTCGCCGTTGAAGTTGCCGCACAGGCCGCACAGGCGCCCCTTGAAGGCGGCGGGCGCCGTCACCTCGAGGAAGCTGCGCCCGTTCCACACGACCACGACGCCATTGTGCAGGCGCACCTCCACGCCCTCGGGCAGCTTGCGCAGCGCAAACTGCCCCGCCCTCTCGAAGTTCAGGCCCACTCTGCGCCCGTTGTACTTGACGCGCAGGCGCTGCTGCAGATTCAGGCGCGCCCCCCCGTAGCTGATGGCCACGCGCTTCGTGATTGGCGAGTCCATGTAGTGGGGCGTGGCGTAGTTGGCCACCTTGATCGAGAAGGCGCTGGCGTTGTTGCCGGCGCCGCACTGCTCGACCAGCTGGTACCGCCCCATGGCCTTGAACGTGTAGATCTTGCCGTCGAACGTTTTGTAGTGCGGGTCGCCGAACGCCATACACGCCCCTTCCACTGATCGGAAAAATTGCAACCAGGGCAAAAACGTCAAATTAGTTTGTCAATTGGGTGAAATTCTGCGCAGCAATTTTTTCAAATTTTTAAAAATAAAAAAACGCTCACATTCAACGCACTGCGGACAGCATTCGCCCTCCACGTTGATCTGCTTCATGCCGGCGGCGCAGGTGGTGTTGCAGCGGATGCGCGCGCAGCTGACCTTCCCGTCGTGGCACTCGCACGAACTGCACGCGTCCAGCTTCCACACGTTGCCATCCTGCCTAACAAAGCGCGCGTTAAACCTAGAAGGGGGCGTGGCCCGGCTAGTACCTGCCTCGTAGGCGTGGCCCGCGTAGTGGCACTGGCTGATCAGCTCGTCGGTCGGCTGCTGGATGCAGGTGGGGCAGCAGTGGGCGGGGAAGGTGCGCTGCAGCTCGGGCGCACACTCCAAGATCGGGCAGGCGCTGCGCGTGCACACTGACGTGCTGTTGACGCACGCGCACTCGATGCACTTGTCCAACTTCAGCGCCTGCCCCTCGCGGAAAAAGGACCGCTGTATGGGACAGGTGTTCGGCACCAGCAGGATGGCGCGCGTGCCGTTGCAGCGCGGACAGCACTCACCTGTCAAACGTCAACAATGTCAACTACCTACTCACCACTGGTCAACATAGTCGCATACCTGGCGCCCTCTCCTGCATGGCCCGCGAACACTGCAGCACCGGACAGGACCTTTTGGCGCAGGTCAGGCGGCCGCGACTGCAGCGACACTTCAAGCAGGGATCGTCCTCGGACACGACGTCCCGGTCCTCAGCCACCACTTGCCCATTGAATTTGCACACTGCGGGGGGAAATTGCGCGTGAGCCGGCAACAGCGCCTGCAGGGGCCACGTACCTGAACAGGTGGGGCAGCATTTTCCCGGCTCGGGCGGCAGCGGGTTGGGGCAGGGCGTGTAGCAGTGCATGTCCGAGATGGTGACCACGCCCGCCTCGCATCGCATCACTTTGCACGGATTGGCCGGCTCCGACCAATCGGTGTGGCTGGCGTAGGCCACGCCCTTGTAGTTGCAGCCCTTGCACACTTTACAGCAGCCGTCCGTCACCACCAGATGGCAGCCGTCCGTTTTGGGGCAGGTGTTCTTGCACTCGACCAGCCCGTTCTGAAACGCGCGCATGACAGGTGACAGTGCCAATCAAGTTCCAAATGGTTTTGGAAAAATTGCGAAAATTTTTCCGGAAATCCCCCAACTGCATGCGTTGCTGCATTGAGCCAGGGAACGACGGAATATTTTTTTTCACCGGGAAAAATTGTCGA